CGGGGACCCACCCGCTCCCACCAACCCTCCCCGCCGGGAAAGGAACGGGGATGGACTCCAGCTAGGGCGCGGGCGGGTTCAGGGTGACGCTTCGCGGCTGGATCCGGATTCAGATCCGAATGGGTATGGAAACGCCAATTCTGACCGCGATTTAGATCATGGCACAGAGCCGGCTTCAGCTCTGGGTCACACCCCAGCTGGCGAGGTCCTGATCTGGATCACGGTTCAGATCAACCATCCCAGATTTGAGTTCAGAACTGGACTGCAAATCGGTTGAGAGTTTGGGTTCTAATTCCGATTCGTATCCAGATTAGGGGTCAGATGGGGATTTGTAATATCCCCATCTAGGCTTGGATTCAGATTCAGAGTTGCATTCGCATCTTACACCTACATGAGATCTGGATCCAGATTCGGATCAAACCCAGTGCCAGATCAGGATCAGAAAATCAGATTTAGATTCAAATTCAGATACAGACCCTGTTCTGGATCTTAAATCAGATTTAAATGTGGACTATGATTCAGATTAAGATCAAAACTGTGACTAGGGGTCAGATTAAGATTAAAATCCAGATTCAAGAGTGCATTGTGATTCAGATCAAGGTCCAGATTTAAAGTGAAATCAAGATCCAGATCTGCATTAAGATCCAGTGTATGTTTGGATTCAAATTCAGATCAAGAGTCAGTTTAAGTGTGAGATTAAGAGCCAGATTCAGGGGGCAATTAAGGTGTGGACTCAAATTTAGATTAAGATTAATATACAGGTTTGAATTAAAATTCAGATTTGGAATGGGATTAAGATCCAAATTCAGATTAAGATTTAGTGTACATTTGGATTCAAATTCAGATCCAGAGTCAAATTAATATCCACATTCAAAGTGAGATTAAAATCCAGATCCAGAATAATATCATGATCTGGATTCAAATCTAGATTAGGATTCACATGTAGGTTTAGATTAAAATTCAGATTCAGATCCAGATTAACAATTAGCGCACATTTGGATTCAAATTCAGATCCAGAGTCAGATCCGGATTCCAATTCAGCAGGAGATTAAGATCCAGAGTCCTAACCAGATTCAGATTCCATTCTAGGTGTCACGAAAAACTCAGAACCCAATTAAGTTCCAGAGTCACATCTGGATCACAATTCAGATCTCAGTTTGGGCTCAAACCCACATTCCGATCAAGACTGAGAACAGGATCCAAACTGAGGCTAAGACAGACCGACCTGGGGGCATCTCCTCCCACCCCCATGAAGAACCCAACACCAGGGGCGGGGGCTGGCAAGGGGGCACAAAGCCCCATAGGGAGGAGGTGAAGGGTGGACTGGGCAGCGGGGACCAGACTCCCCTCCCCAGCATGCGGGGCCCACAGCCCGGGGCCCCCTCACCTTGTGCAGCTTCGAGTTCTGGTCCTCCAGCAGCAGCAAATCCTCCTCCATCTTCTTCAGCTTGGACTCCGTGGTCACCTTCTCCAGCTGCAGCTTCTGCCGAGCCGCCTCCTCTTCCTCCAGCTGCTCCTCCAGGTCCTGGGGGGCAGCGGGGTGTCAGAGGGCTTGGGGCCGGCCGTTGGCGGGGCCCAGGGCGTGGGCAGTGGGCGCGGGGCTCAGGGGTGTGGGCTACTGGCGGGAATCGAGGGGGTGCAGGGCTGGCCGTCGGGCGG